AGTTTCAGTTCTGTGTCTAATAGATATGATTCTACAAAGTGTTTGTTAAGTCAACGAGGTATATGACATAAAATAACAAATTGAGGAACTAACTAAATCAACAATTTATTAGATAAAATCAACCTCCCCTGAAAAAGGAAAAATAAAAAGATAAGGTTGTTCTATTTCGACAAAAGACTCACACCCGTATACTTTAAGGGTGATTTCTACTTCGAAAGCAATGAGTCCCGTCTACGAAAGCCAAAGCCTATAGAACAAATTTGCTCCTCTTGATTAACTTGTCACTACTTCTGATCCCTCGTAGTACCTTTCTTTCTCAATCTGACTCTTCTACGTACTCAACAGATGTCATGATTGCTATATTAATTTGTGATCAGGTTCGATCAAATAAACATGACTTTCAAAATACAATGCAACATAGAGATCATGCATAATTCCAAACATAAAGCACTCACTTGATGTCGAAACTCGAGTGTGAATGGCAAAAAGGATCGAAAAATATTAAATAGAATCCTTCTTTAGAACTGAAGATGGATATGGTTTGGTTAGATGCCTTATTTATAGAAATTGTGAGGTCCTCAATCCTATTCAAAGTTTGAATTCAAATTCCAACTTCTAAAAGGATTTCTATTTATTTTCTGTTTCTTTTTAATTAAGAAATATCTTAATAGATATTTTTATTATCTTTTAAATTAAAATTTAAACTAATTATTTAAATTGACATTATTAAAAGATTCTTGTGACTAATTTAAAAATATTTAAATTACCAATTAATTCAAGTTTAGATTCCTATTCAGACACAACCAAGTTTAGAGACAAATTTTATAATAAATTTACTTTTATTATTATTATTATTATTTTAAAGATGATCTTTGAATCGTAATGCATTTAAAATTATGTTTTAAGCTATATATATAAATATCAAATTTTTATCAAAATACCGCGGGGATTGCAGCCCCCAAAACCCAATGATTTTCTTGCATCAAAATTTTTGTTTAAAATTTCAATATTGTTTGGAAGAAAAGGRAAAAAGACATATAGAAAAATCATGGATAAACAAATTATAAAAATTGTTATCACGTGGTTCAATAAACGATAACTTTGATCTATACTTATTCATATCAATTAGTTTTTTTATTTGTCAACCTGAACATRACTAAACATGTTAACACGTTTATGTTCGATTAGAATGTCGTGGGTTAGTTTGAATTTCTCATTGCTCCGTCTTATATCAAATTTTTTTATTGAAACAAAAATAATAATATATATGCTCAATTATTTACTAAAAGCATGAAGATGTTATTGTCAACACACAAAATGTTTGATTTTAATAAAACAAAAGAGATATGAAAGGGATGAGATGGGATTTGTTCACATTTTGACACGTCATGTCAATTATTGTGCCCTCCAATTGCATTAGTAAAAAATGACTAAGGCCCACCTTTAAATTTTTAATTATTTTATTCTTTCTTTTTTTTTTCTTTTTTTGAAAACGAACGTACCATTAAATTTATTACTACGCGTATAGCATGTCAAATTATTATATTTTATTCGATAAATATATGTTTTAGTCTCCAATTAGGATGACTCAAAGATGATATAAGGCTTTAGACAAAACTTTAATAGAGAGGCCWATTTGTATATCAAACTCAAACATTCATATTAAATGTGTTTATTACTAGATTCATGATTAATCTTTTAACTCCTTTATCCCCCAATTGAACGGGTATTACAGATTTAGTACCAAATAACTTATAACAAAAACAACAAACTTTATCAAAATTCTTTGAATAAACTAGCAAATTTGAAAAATTAAATAAATTTAACTAATTATGAATGCATCATACAAGACAATTATAAGTAAAACTTTCATATATTAAAGAATATGTTGTTCTATTCCTTTTTTTTTTCTTGTTAAGCTTTTCGTATCCAAATTATATTTTCTTGTAGACATATAATTCTAAGTAAATCTAAAAAAATCTTATATATATTAAGATATTGAACAATCAGCGATGTGAAATAAATTTTTTTAAAAGAGTAAAAGAATTTGAATAAAAAAAGCTTGAAACTTTGAAGCCGCTAGATTGATTTGAACAAATTATGATTTCTACTCTAGCAATTGATAGTCACACCTGAACTATGAGACCACATGAAAGTCAAACATGAAAGTTTATATTTGAGAGAAACCGAGGAAGAGAGTTAAAGTTAAATTAGTCTAACCTACCTAATATATTTATGAAGTTTTCATTATCTTAAGGTTGGAGGTTCAATCTTCGTGTCCCTAAAAAAACTTATATCCCTCGTCAATTTAAATTCAAAATATTTCTCTTCATTTGCAATATTGTGCAACCAAGAAAATAAAAAAGGTTGATTATGTTTGTTGAGCTGGTGTGATGGTGCGAATAGACATGAACATTTGATGTTATTTTATGGATGTAATAAAATTTTTCTAACATGCCGGAGTCAAGTTATATTTGAGAACAAAATATATATAAGATCTATTCAAGTACTAAATAGATATAACAAATTTGTTGATACGGTATTTGGCTTAGAAAAATGATTGAAATTCGCACCACTCTTCTGGATAAATGAAACTAGACGATACCTAAAAAATAGAGAAAGAATGCATACTAGTGTTATGCTAATCCAAACACACAACGATGTTTAAATTAGAGTTAGGTTTGTGTTAAGCTTAGCAAATGTTAGGGTTTTGTGGCTTGGTATATAGAGGGATAAAACCTAAAATGTTTTCCCAAAAGGACTTGAAAAATAATGAGGTTTGGACCAAGGGGTTCATCTACCCACGAGCTAGGCTCATGATTGCACTCATAAGGCTTGACCCATATTGGCCAAGGTGACCCATGAGGACTACCTCTAATATTGGAAACTACGTCCAATTTTATGCAAAAACATGTTCTACTATAGTTATCGATAAAGATTTTAGTCAAGATATCACTATACAATGACTATCTTGCTTTTAAGTACCTAACAATAACTACCTAGGATTACACAATTGAAAATACGCTATTGTCCCAACAGATGAGGATGCTTATAGAGTGTAGGTGGGTTATTTTAGCCAATATAAATAACCAAAGGGATAAGCCTTTTACCAAATCTAAAGCAAGGCAAGGTTAGGAGATAAAATATGATTTTGTGGGGTTTTGGGCAATACAAAACAGTCCCAAATAGCTCTCCACAAGGGAGAATAAAGGACTTTTTGGACTACAAAGTTTTGTTGATATCTTTAAAATTTAGACATCGCTAACGAAGTGGTATCTAACATCAATGCATTTAGTCCTTTCATGGTGCGAGAGATTTTTAGATAAATGTATGACAGACTATGGCACCGAACTGTAACATTTTTATTTTTACAGCTTAGTTTAGAAATAATACTCTTAAGCCATAAAAATTCTTTAATGACTTCTGTCAAAGCTATATATTCTAAGTAAGTTGTAGACAAGACAACTATTGATTATAAATTAGATTTTGAATTAATAGTACAATTACAAATCTAACCAAAGACTTATACATGTGAATGCTAGGGTGTCCATAAGGGTTTGCTATTCTTGTAATATCAATATTGAGTTTTCGATACACACCATTTAATTCTTTTAGTACACTTATCTATAAAATTCTTCGATTTTTCAAGACTCATCTTCTATTAATAACTTTGGGAATCCCAAAAAGATTATGACTTTGATAAGATCAATTCTTTTTTGAATTTCGATACGTGCAACTCCCTCAACACCAAAGAATATTCTCCTATTACGATACAAATCTCTTATTTTTTTTATCTTCTTGCAAACTTTTGGAATATTTTTTGGGGTGTGCAAACTAAATAGAATGATTCCATGCACAAAACCTTCTATAACTATTTCATTATAATCATCAGTTTTTGCTTCACCATAAATTACGCAAAAATTCATGTAAGATGCAAGGTATCTAACTATCCATTTTACAACATTCTAGTGTTGTATTCCAAGCTAGAAATAACCTACGAACAACACTTAGTGGATGAGCTAAGTCATGTTTAGTACCAACAATGACATATATAAGACTCCCAACAATATTAGCACAAAGTATTATCAATCATTTTATCAATTTCATTTAGAGTCTTAAAAGAGGATCGTTACTAGATAGTTTAAAATGCTTGCCAAATAGTATACTAAAACTGTCCAACTTTCATGCATCCATCATCTTTTTTCAGGCTTATTTATGTATTCACTCTGGGACAAAGACAATTTCTTTTTCTTCTCGTTACCCTATGTCTTTTATCTCAAATTCTTTACTTAAAAAGATTTTTTAAGTTTAATTATCTGATGAATGGATTCACGACAAATTAACATGTCAACAACATATAGGAATAAATAAATTCATGATAAGATACTTGTTTAAAATATGTAGAACTATCGTACTTACTCCTACTATAGTTGATAGAGAGCATATAAGAATCAAACCTTTTACACTATTGGTGTGACGATCATTGCTTAAGTTCATACCACAAACTTTCCACTTAGACCAATCTTTTTGGTTTAGAAGCATATTTCTCTGTTCTAAGTTAGGGTTTCACACCATATTTCACTTTCATCATAAAAAAATATATAATGATCTTTCCTAAGATGTTATTTGTATTTATATATTAAATAGGCATTCATATATTGATTGATGGTGAAAGGGCATCCAAGGCCATTTTTTTTGTTGAGAAAAATGTGGTGTTTGAAAACCTCATCCTGTTCCTGTCCATTGTCACAACCTAACTCACATATACAAAAACAAATGTGTGTGAATCAGCTGATGTTACTTTATTTGCTGAGTCAAAAAGAAGATGGTGATGTTTTTTTCCTTCTTTTCTTTCTTTTGGGAGTTATAGACTATTGTAAAGGTCGGTGGCAGTTGGCTCCATTTTCTAGAATTGTCTTCTTATGACTTTTCCTCTCAAAATTTCAATCAATTTCTCAAACCAAAAGCTTCAGCTTCCCTATTTATAGTCACCATTCTTCTCTCTTCTTTCATCCTTCTTCATCTTCCAATCTCTCTTCTCTTTGTTTTCATTTTACAGAGCAGAGATTTGCTGCAATTTTTTTGCCCCTAATTCCCTATTTGGAGCTCTGAGATGGAATGCAAAAACCAGCAGTCTCAGGCCCCAAAATATGAGTGTCTTCTATTTGGTAAGCCCTCTCAGTTTGGGATTTTCAGGTCCAAAATTAAACTTAAACAAAAAATACATGTAAATATAATATATGTTTGAATTTGGGCAGATGTTGATGACACCCTTTACCCTCTTAGTTCTGGTTTGTCCAAACAGTGCACCAAAAATATTGAAGGTATTATAATCTGTGAATATTTTTTTCCTTTTTATGGCTGCTTCTCCTTTGGCTTTGGGTTCTCATTTGCTTTGTTGTTGTGTTAATTGACAGAGTACATGGTTCAAGAACTTTGGATAGAGAAAGATAGAGTTGCAGAGATGAATCAGTTTTTGTACAGAAATTATGGGACTTCCATGGCTGGTCTTAAGGTAAAATCATTGCAACTTTGATTCTCTACAAGAAAACTCAAAACCCAATTCACATTTTGTTTCAAAATTTTAAATTTTTTTGTCTTTTTGTCGTTTTTGTAGGCTGTTGGTTATGAGTTTGACAATGATCACTATCACAGGTACAATTCTCTCTCTCTCTTCTCCATTTTGGATTAAATTGTATAGTTGAGTACCTCACCAAAAGTAATCTCTCCACTCCTTATTTTGCAGCTTTGTTCATGGAAGATTACCCTATCACAATCTCAAGCGTGATCCTGTCCTTAGAAATCTCTTGCTTAGTTTGCCCATTCGCAAAGTTGTAAGTCTCGAGTTGAAATTTAACACGTTATCAAAGCAAGAATTTCAGAACGTGTTGAGAATATATTGAAAAGATTAAACTGATGCGAAATAGGTATTCTCGAATGCGGATGAAGTTCATGTTGCAAAAGTTCTGAGTAGGCTTGGGTTGGAGGGCTGCTTTGAGAGGATCATATGCTTTGAGAGTCTCAACTCCTCTGGTTTGGACTCTGCTTCCGATGATGGCTCTGAATCTGATTCCAATAGCTCGATGCCGAACAGCGAAATCGACATCGACGCTCGTCCACCGCTCCCCATCACTCCGGTTCTGTGCAAACCTTCTCAGCATGCCTTTGAATCTGCACTCAAGATAGCCAACATTGACCCCAAAAGAACAGTAAGAAATTTTCTCTTATCTTCTCAATGGAAAGTTACAGRAAAGGATCATTTGGTTGCTAAGAAAATTAAGGTTTGAATTTTGGTATTTGMAGCTCTTCTTAGATGACAGCATCCGCAACATAAAGACTGGGAAAGCCATGGGCCTTGACACTGTGCTGGTGAGCTCATTTTTCCATTGCAGAATCATGGAAAGGAAAATTTGGTAATCAATTTTCTTGGAATCCAAACAGATATTTAGAAATTTGGGATATGGGTTTTGCAGGTTGGGTCATCCAACAGGACAAATGGTGTGGATTATGCATTGGAAAGCATTCACAATATGAGGGAAGCACTGCCACAGCTTTGGGAAATGGATGAGAAGATGAAGAACACAAGGCTTTCTGGGAAGATTGCATTGGAAACATCTGTGTTCATGGCCTAACTCATAATACCTATAACTTTTTTATGATTTGTTTCAACAAAAAACGTGTTTGGAGGCTTTTGATATCCATCCCATTTGTAATAAAGCTAAGGTTTTAACATATCAAAGGTTGTAGAGAAAAACTCACCTTTTTCTTTGCTTGGGTATGCATATTATGTACTTATATTTGCAAATTTTAAATAAAAGAACTTCAAAATGGATGAAATTCATCACCTAATTAATGAATTAAGATCCATTATTTATCCAAAACAAAAGAAAGAAAACAATAAGAAAAAGAAAAGCCCACCTGTACATATGGTAAAAAATTAATAGTTAATTGGAAATAGGAAAATTTAAGTGGATGGCTAAATTTTGTCTATTAGTTTTAAATTTTGCAAAAATGGTTAAAAGGGTATTTTAAGAGTTTTACAAAAGAAGGTAGTTTTACCATTTTCTATGTCCTTTTGGCTTTTTCTTTTATTTAACCAAGTAACAAACTTTGTTTTGAATTTAAAATGATTTAGGGATTTCAAGTTAATTATTTTAATTATTTTGTTTTGTATTTCAGTTAATTTAAACGATTTGTGTACAACGATTCGTCTCCCATCTCATCGTTTTAATCTATATATACATATTTGCATCAATTGGTATATATACCTAAGCATTATGGAGTATATGCTGTCACAAGTTTTTTGTATTGTTGTTTTCCTATTTCTTTATCATTTAATAAATCATCTACAACAAATGTAAATTAAAAAATCGAAGACTAACAACCCATAAATCAAAACAATTAGAAAAATAGGTGATGCCTCTTAAATTTGTAGCCTTTGGGCGTGTATCGTCATCGGATTCAGTTTCTTAAACTTCTTTTGACGATGAGTTATTTTTCTTATGTTCGGTGGATTCATTATTCACTCTTTCATTCTCTTCATTAGACTTTGTATCGTCCTTTAAAACATTAGAAAATTTATCAAAATTAAAAGGTCAATAAAGGTATATACCAATTAAAGAAAAATCAAAATTATAATTCAATACACGTATATATCACCATGAAACTCAATAATGTCAATACATGAATTAACAAAATACGAAAGTTAATACATGTATATACAACTATATAACTCAAATATCATAAGTATAATGTCAATACATGTATATACCAATAATTACCTCACTAACACGTTGTTCCTCAACTATCTTAAGACCATTTCCTTTTCTTGAAATATACGAGTACATTAGCTCAGTGAATCTAATTTGTAAATATTATTGTAAAAATTAACAAACAAGAAATATATAAACTACTGCATCTATACATCTTTTTCACTTTCTAAGTTGATTTTGCACGATTCCTTTGAACGTTTTGTTCATACTCTAACTTTTACCATATTTATAGATTTTATTTAGAATTTAAGCTATATAAATATAGTAAGTCTGTTGCAGTTGTAGATATATACTTCTCAGATCTAGTTATAAACAAAAGATACATGTCGGTCGTGTGTATTTTTTTTAATATCCTAAAATATAGGGAAACCAAAAATATCTTTTTAAATACCCCTGAAATACGCAAAATCTAAACAAAGGGTCTTACCATCCTCGAACAGTTGCTAGAAGATGGAAGTTGGGCTGCAAATCGGAAACATATTGAAGCGGCACTAGGTGGATCTGGTCGGGTGGCGGGATGGTAGATCTAGTTTGGGACGTGGTGCATCAAGCAGATATGGTACGTGTT